ATCCCGCCCCCTTGACCTGTCCGTCCTCCCCGGACTGACCTACCTCCCCACCGCCACTCACCTTTACTGGCTCCATCCCCGCCTCTTTGACCTGTCTGTCTCCTCTCCACCTATCTTCTCCTCTATCCATCTTCTATCCGCCTCCCCCTCTCTCCCTGTTTATTTCAGAACCCCCTTCCCCTCCCCCATTTCTGAAGAAGGGTCTCGGCCCGAAACGTCAGCTTTCCTGCTCCTCTGATGCTGCTTGGCCTGCTGTGTTCATCCAGCTCTACACCTTGTTATCTCAGATTCTCCAGCATCTGCAGTTCCTACTATCTCTAAACTGAGAATTGTTTGTTTTTGTTGTCGAGCTGGTCATACAAATTAATCTCTGTGCTGAAAGTGTGTTCAAATCATGCTGTACCAGATAAGAATTGCCAATCAGTACCTGCTGTGTGTTCTTTATGATTAAATTCATGGAGACAGATGTGTCACTGGAATGGGTTAAAACAACACCTGGTATCAGATAAAGTAAACTAAAGATTTTGATCAAATCATATTAGAATTAGGTTTTATTGTCACGTACTCAAGTACGGAGATACAGGAGTACAGTGAAAAGTTCACAATGTTGCCATTCACAGCACCATCTTTAGGTACGAGGTATCTAGGTACAAAATCTTAGGTAAAAAGTAGAAAAAGAAATAAGTTACCTAACGATCAGATATTAGTTATTTACAAAATTCTTACTCAGCAGAACTATATTTCTTTATGTTAAAACACCATGTAAAATTCCTTTTGGATGCCTTGTGGGCCTGTTTCTGTCTGTCAGCCTCCAGAAATACCTTGACCAAGTCTTGCATTAATTGTCTTGTTTGTCTCCTTCATCTCCTGCAGAATGACCAATACCACACCCTTCACCTGGTCTGTAACTTGAGAAGTGAAGCTGAATCTACCCAGGCAGCAAATATGAAGGTAAAAGGAAGAAAGCAATGGGACTGGTTAGCATGCCCTTACAAGTACTCCCATTGACATCACTGTTTAAATTTGACTGGACTAAAATGAGAATTTCTAAATCCTATACTGTTGTATAATTGGATCTAACTGCCGTAGGTTCTACTTTATAGATACTAAGAACCACAGCTAGTTCACACCAGGCCAGGAGATTGGATGTCAGAAAATTCTTCTCCATTCCACCTCCTTCATGACATGGTCACAAAGGCCTAGATGTGCCTTTCGATTTGTGCTGAGTTCATGTTGCCCTACATGTTTGTTGTTAATACCTCCCCTGACCTTTGGTAAATGGGCAAGGTGGTGAGTGAACAGACTGCCACAATCTGTCGCCACTTGTGCAGCTCCTCCCATTGCTGGGCTGGGAAATTATGGGTGCTCGACTTGAGCAGCAGTGAATTATCAACTAAAATAGTGACTGAACGTGACACCACCCTAATGCTGTTAGACTTGACTTCTCTAAGCCATGTACTCTGGTGATGTTAGGACTCAACATCTGCGACTATCTTTCAGGCTGAATTTCCCTCCTTCACTCTTCAGGTTCTGAGTGATAGTAACTTCAAACCTAGCTCCAGAAATTTCAGCAGGGAATCTATACTGATACTTCAGTGGCAAAACTGCACAATGTTGATGAATTGGATGCAACCGTGTTGCTGCTTCATCAATAATCTTCCCTCCATGATAAAATCAGAAGTGGGAATGTTCACAATGATTACATCATGTTCAATGCTGTTGATGACTCCTCTGATACTGGAGCAGTACATGTCCATATGTGGCTATCCCAATTTGGGCCGACAACTGACTGCAATAACATTTGTACTACACAAGTGCCAGATAATGACCATCTCAATCTCCAACAAGAGAGAATCTAACCATTACCCTTCACATTCAATGGCCCCATCATCACTGAATGCCCCCACTGTCAACACCCTGGAGGTTATCATTGAACAGAAACCAAACTGGGTTAGGCACCACCCTGTAGCTACAAAAGTAGGTCAGAGGATGAGTGCAGGTCCAACAACACTCAAGAAGCTTGATACCATCTAGGACAAAGCAGACCGCTTGACTGACACCACATTCACAAACATTTAGTCCCTTCACCACCAGGTGCTCAATGGCAGCAGTGTGTACTGTCTACAGAAAGTTGCCAAAGACCTTCAGACAGCACCTTCCAAACCCATGACCACTTTCATCTGGAAGATCAAAAAAAGCAGATACATGGGAACGCCACCACCTGCAAATTCCCCTCCAAGCCCCAAGCACCATCCTGACTTGGAAATATATTGACATACCTGCAGTGTTACAGGGTCAAAATCCTGGAACTTTCTTCGTAATGGAGCTGTGGATGTACCTACATCAGTGAACTTCAGTGATGTTCAGGAAGGCAGCACATTACCATTTTCTCAAGAGCAACAAGGAATGGGCAATGTATGCTGGCCCAACCAGTGATGCCCATATCCCTTCAATGCATTTTGTTAAAATTCATTGAACTGAGACCCCCTCTGCCCCTGAGATCAATGTAAAAGATCCCTTGGTAAAATTTGAAGAACTGGGGATTTCTAGCAGTGTCATTGCTGTCGTTTATCCTATCCCTTACCAATGTCATCATTAACTGCTGTTGAACTCATTGGTTTTCACTTGCTGTATGTAGATTGCCTGCCATGTTTTACTTAGAAAGCAACTAATGATGCATTTCATAAACACAGCTAACAGGCTGTAAAGTACATTGGGTTGCCCTGAGAGGTGGAAGGCATTATATACACGTGGTCGTGTGCTTCCTGGATAGACCCTTCAAATTTGTTGTTGATGGCAGAGTTTTCACGAGCTGGACATCTGCTTGGAACTGCTTCTGTCAACTCTTTTGTTTAACCCCTTACCTTCTCAAAGGCACTTGTAAATACCCCTCTTTGAACAAACCTCTGATTTCCTTTTCTTTCTGACCTCCACAAAGGTTTGACAGGAATTACTTCCTCTTCGAAGTTTGTCAGTCACCGTTCCACATAAAAAGCACCACATAACTGTAAATGTTTGCTAATCGCAGCTCTTGATGTTTGTGCCTGATCATAAGCTTTCTCACATAATAGAAAGAAAAGATCAGGCTCCATGTTTTCTCTTTTTTTTTTAAAAGAAGTCTTTGACAATGAAAATGTTTAGTTTCAACTGGAGTTGAATGGTGCAGGATTGAAGTATGAAGAGTATATTTAAAGAGCTATCAATCCAAGGCTTGTTACTATGAGATAGAGGAAAAGAATCATCCCAACTATTGGGGAATGCAGTTGGAGGCGTGTGAAGTTTCTCACTTTCTGCTGTGAGCTATCATAAAAAGCCACCCACAGGATAACAGGTGCAGTGCCAAGTGCAGACAAACTTATTTTCAACAAATGTTGTTCCCTGCTCTGGAGATTTGCATACTTGTGGTAGTTCAAAATGTCCAGCTGTGTCATCAGTTGAGAGCAAACTATTTATATCCTAATTGGTTTTGGTCTTGTGCTAAAATCCAACAGAGAAAGCACCTAAATGGGAGTTGTTGTCGTTGAATCTTAGGGCATAAACTAAAAATTAAATACTGTGCATAGAGATTTAATAAATCTAAATGTTTTAATGCATTCACTTAACCATTGTCACTGGGATAAAAATATTTGGTGCCGGTAAAAATATGAAACCAGCAATGGTGTACAAGCAGCCTGCTTATTGACTTTAATGGAGTAGAAAATCAGATGAAGTTTAGAAACGGTTGCTCTTGCCCAAAATTAACCTTTGCCCTATTGAGGCTTGTGGCTGAGGAGACAGTGTCGAAGCCTTTGAGTGTCCAAATTGTTTGGTCAAGTTCAGTGTGTCCATTTCAGAATCCAGTTCTCAACTGGACAGACAGTGACCTGATTTCCCCTGTGTCTACTCTTAGCGCTGGAAATCATAGGATGTGGATCGTTCACTGGTGCAAAAATGGGCAAAGTAGAAAAACTTGTCTGAGTTGCAGTGGATAGGCCAAAAATAATTTTTTCCCATCTGTATTTAAAGGTAGTGAAAAGCAAAATGGCAGACGGAGTTTGGTTGACATCCACTTGTTCCTCTCTTGCTATCTCTTGCTTTTTTCTGTCCAAATAGCAAGTTGACTTGTGTTTTTGGCCTTCTATAAACAGGAAGCAGCTGCACCTACAGCCTCTGGCCAGGAAACCCTCACTGTCCCCACGTCAGTAACTGCAGACAGCCTTCGGCACAGAGGATCCAGCTCCTTCCCTTGGTTGTATGGTGCCTGGTGAGTAAGACCAGAGGCTCATTCATCACTGACTTGATGTCTGTATTCGTTTGATTGTCTATTAAATCTGCTCTTTGATTTGTCATTTGAAAGGCCGGCAGGAGAAGAGCTCCAGAGACCAGCAGGAATGTCTGGTCTAGCAGCGTACAATCTGTACAGCTCTCAGCAAATAGTTTGGCTCCAGCAGATGTATGCAAGACAGTACTATATGCAGTAGTAAGTATTTCACTTGTTCTGCAGGTTATCTTTGAAACAGAATTTGAAGGTTTTTCTTTGTGATTCTTACATCACACTGGTTCTCCTGCCATTCTGCTACAGTATTATGAGCATAGATTGTATTGTTCAAAAGGAGATCACAGTGCTCACAGACAACAAGGTGCAGGGCTGGATGAACACAGCAGGCCAAGCAG